TTTTTGACGTAATTGTTTTACGTCAAAACTTTTTGATGGAAATGTGTTTCATCAAAATTTTGGACGAAAATATTTTCGTTAAAAGTTTCGACCGAATTTAGATTCTGTCAATAATTTTGACTGGATTTTTTTTTTCGTACAAAATTTATGTTATAGATTGTGGCAAAATCTGGTTCCGTCTCTAATTTTGTCTTTAGTTTTGACGAAAAATTTTTGACGTATATGATTTTCATCAAAAATTTCATCACTAACTTTTATGAAATATTTTTCGTCAATAAATGCTGTCGGTATTTGAGACTTTTCTAATAATATCGCATTTAAAAATGATTCACAATTATGTAGTTTTAACATTTTAATGCTAAGGGTAAAAAAATAATTTTTCAGTTTTCCGCCAAACCCTCCCTTAATTCTGCATATGCAGAATAAAAATTCAAATTAGCATCAATGCATTTAAAAGTCTTAATCATGTACTACATATACAATTAATACATACCAAGCGAGTGCCCCCAATAGGAAGAGACACAAGGTTTCAGGCTTAGGTCATTCCACCATTCACTAAGCATCATACAATTGGGGATTGATTGGGGTTTGTGTAGTCTAAAGCAGGGTTTGTGTAGTACAGCTGGGCTAGTGGAGAATGTACTTGGTAGAGAATACATGCAAGTGGATGACAACAACATCCTTGAACGTGAAAGTCTATATATGTATATATCCTACTATCAACTATGTACCCCCAATGGAAAGCATTTTCTATTTGTAGAAATCTCCAGTAATTTCTATCCAAATATTACTTGCCCAATTTTTCACACAATTTAGAAACATTTGGTTCGAAATAGTTAGGAGAGGCATCATAAGGAAGAAGGAAGAGCATGAAGAAGAAGGTAAACTAATAAGCAAATATAAAGGAAGCAAAATAAAGAAGAAGGTAAACATTTGGTTTGATTTTGTTTGTTTTAACCAAGATGGAAAAAGAAGATGAAAAAAACAATGTTTGTTGAGAGAGAGGGAGAAAGTATTAAGGACCTGCGACGTCAGACCCTTGACGGCTTCTTTTGTGTTCGGCGTGCCGTTCCCACGGTCATCTTCATCCCCATCAACGGGGGTTGGCTTGGCACACGGATTCATGAACAAAAACATCTTCGCTAAAAAGCTCATCTTATCTTGAACAACAACAAAACAAGCAAACATTTATGGTTAGATTCCAGAGAATGAAAGAGTGTCTGTCAACAGTTGAGAATGGGAATGACATATAGAGAAGAAATGAACCATATCAATATATGTCATTGGTTCTGAATGGATAATAGAACAAAATAAAAATAATAATAAAAGTCATTGAAGGATGAAGTTAAGGTTATCACTTTCAATGAATGAAACAGTGACAGGAAATGGCCATTTACGGTAAACAAAAGCAATGATTAGGTTACAGGGAAAGCGCCAAAATAAAGACCACACAGATGCAGCAATTGAGTTACAATGCAACTAATAAATAACAATGCTCCAAAAAACAACATCTTTCACGTGAAACAAAATGGTCCTAAGATAACTGTAACACCCCAAATTTCTAACAATTTATAAAACAATCTTATAATAAATAAATTGTCAATTTTTTTTTTTTTTACAATTATAATAATAGAAATATTGCGAAAGCTAATCTAAATCTAATTTGGGGAATGTTACCGCCGCACCTGTACAATGGACAAGTGCAAGGCTAAATTTATTACATTAAAATAAAACCAAAGACTAAAGTTTAAATAAAGGAAATATGTCTTATGCATTTATTTAAATCTCATAAATTTCTAACTAAAGATTAGGATACACACAATAAAACATATAACTACCTAAAGATTAGGATACACACAATAAAATTTCATACACAACGAATCTACAACCACCTAGAGATTAGGATTACCTGGTCTCCGTGTTTGGTGACTTCTACAATTTGGGGAAGAGAAGCGGTTGGTAACCAAAGAAAGATAATAATAAAAATAAAAATTTAAAGTGAAGAGAGAGAAAGAGAAAGTGTAGAGGACAAGAAGAGTGGTGGAGAATTATTGAGGATTCAGAGTGAATTGGTTTGGTTAGGTTAGGTCTCTATTTATAGTTGAAGTTTTGGGCTCGGATATGGGTTTCGTGCATTTATTTCCTTTTTCTTTATTGATGTATTTGGCTCAGATTTTGGCTTTATACACTATTGACTCAATGCTGACTCATCATATCTAAACAATTTATGTTTGTTGACTCATCTTATCTAAATCATCAATCAAACATTAATACATAAATCATCAATCAAACATTAATACATAAATCATCAATCAATTAATAAATCAATTAATCATGATATATATTATATATATATATATATATATATATATATATATATATTCACATAAATCAAATAATATTACTATTATTATTATCTTACCTCTTATTATTTTAACTATTATTAACTCATTAATTAAAAATATTAAATACCAATATTATTAATTACAAAAATACTAAATATCATTATTATCCAAAAAATTTATTATTATATTATTATTATTATTTTATTAAAAGAAAATATGGGGTATTACAATAACTCTTATAAAACCCCCTGTGAAAACCCTCCAACTCAGCCACATTGTAACTGCCATAAAAAGACAAAATACTCTGCTCGGAAAAAGAGAGAGAGAGAGAGAGGATGGAGGTGCGCTTACATATTTTTGACATTTTTGAAGCGAGAAATATACGGTTACAGAAAAGACAAGGATAGCGAGGCAGCGTTTTGAGGTTGTGGTACTTTAACTCCAAGGGGTAGTGGGGTTGGGGTTGACTGCGTGAGGTTTATAAGTGTGACGGAAACTGTTTCGACAATATCAAAGAAGTGGACCTGGGTCCACAAGTTGTCAGGCTTTTTTTTTATCCAATGCAAGGGAGATGTTCCTACGTGGTACATTGTTAGGGGTTTGATGAATTTCTGGTACAGATCGATGGTTAGGATTGGTTCAGGTGAATGCACTTTTTGACAGAATTGAATTTGGAAATAGAAACTTCTCATCCAGCTTGTGTTTTGCTGCTTGTTATGATGTCATCCTTGGATGTTAATTGTGATACAGATCAAAAATTCTTGCAATCACATGATATTCTTCCTGATTCTTCTCCCTGATTCCATGCATGGATGGACAGATAACTATTTTCCTGAGTATCTAATATAATTTTAATGAAAGAAATTGCCAATATTATCAACCGTTTCTCTTACACTTGATTTAAGTCATTTAACTTTTTTTTATTAAAAAAAATTATTTAACTTTTGGCTTTAGTTATAAACTTTTAAGGGGTTTATAAATTTTATGTTACTGCTCCAAAAATTATTTTGCAGCTGAGACAATAAAATATGAGGGCCACAATTTTTTTTCTCTTTTTTATTATCTCGAGCGCTGTGCGTATCGACCCGTGCAATGCTATAGCTAACGAGTTCTACAAATTTTGTGTTGATGCAGCAACAAAAAATTTATAAGCCCCAATTTTTAATAAAAAAATAACATGGCATCGAAATTTTGAATTTACTTTTTATGGTAAGCTAGCATTAAATATATATATATATTTAAATTTTAGATACTTTAAAAATTTGATTGCAGTCATTAGAATCAATTTATACCATAATAAAAATATTTGGGTTATTTATGTGATTAACAAATGTTGGATTCGTTAATTGACATCCATAATTATAACGATCTTAGGGTAGAGAAATTTTTGTCCTATAATTTCCGATACGTTTATTTTAAATTTTGGATACTTCAAAAATTAAACTGCCATCGTGAAAATCAATTTATACCATAATAAAAACATTTGACTTATTTATCCGATTAATAAATGTTAAGACATATTTAATGACAATTGTAACTATAACATTTCAAGGGGTAGAGAAATTTTTATGTATATTTGTTTTTTATTTTTGATATCTCAAGATTTGATTACGATAGTTAAAATCAATTTACACCATATGACTATCGATGGTTAGGATTGGTGAATGCACTTTTTGACAGAATTGAATTTGGAAATAGAAACTTCTCATTCAGCTTGTGTTTTGCTGCTTGTTATGATGTCATCCTTGGATGTTAATTGTGATACAGATAAGAAATTCTTGCAATCACATGATATTCTTCCTGATTCTTCTCCCTGATTCCATGCATGGATGGACATATAAGAATTTTCCTGAGTATCTAATATAATTTTAATGAAAGAAATTGCCAATATTATCAACCGTTTCTCTTAACACTTGATTTAAGTTATTTAACTTTTTTTTATTAAAAAAAATTATTTAACTTTTGGCTTTAGTTATAAACTTTTAAGGGGTTTACAAATTTTATGTTAATGCTCCAAAAATTATTTTGCAGCTGAGACAATAAAATATGAAGACCACAATTTTTTTCCCTTTTTTATTATCTCGGGCGCTGTGAAATATATATATATATATATATATATATATATATATATATATATATATATATATATATATTAGATACTTTAAAAATTTGATCAATTTATACCATAATAAAAATATTTGGGTTATTTATCTGATTAACAAATGTTGGATTCGTTAAATGACATCCATAATTATAACGATCTTAGGGTAGAGAAATTTTTGTCCTATAATTTTCGATACGTTTATTTTAAATTTTGGATACTTCAAAAATTAAAATGCCATCGTGAAAATCAATTTATACCATAATAAAAACATTTGAGTTATTTATCCGATTAATAAATGTTTCTAAATTGCGTGAAAGATTGGACAAGTAATATTTGGATAGATATTACTGGAGATTTCTACAAATAGAAAATGCTTTCCATTGGGGGTACATAGTTGATAGTAGGATATATACATATATAGACTTTCACGTTCAAGGATGTTGTTGTCATCCACTTGCATGTATTCTCTACCAAGTACATTCCACTAGCCCAGCTTTAAAGGTATTGTATGATGCTTTGAAAATGACCCAAGCCTGAAACCTTAAGACTCCATGGTATGTATTAATTGTATGGTACATGATTAAAACTTTTAAATGCATTGATGCTAATTTGAATTTTTATTCTGCATATGCAGATTAAGGATCTGGCGCTGAAGCTTTCAGGGAAGAAAATCAAAGGTGGCACCTCCGAGAGCATCAAGTATGACACCGTTTCTGAAGGGGGGTTCCACACGGCTACATTGGTGGTGGAAGCGCAAGTTCAACCCCTGCTTTGGACTACACAAACCCCAATCAATCCCCAATTGGTAACACCACCCCTGGAGGGCGTCAACCTCAACCACCAGCTGGTAGTGTAGCGTTGGTGGACATGACTGGATCCAACGAGTGGATAGCACAGATGGAGCCAGGTGTTCACATCACCGTTGTGTCTCTTCCTACTGGGGGCAATGATCTCAAAAGGATTCACTTCTGGTATGTATAATATGTCCCATGTTTTGAAAATATATGTAGTACCTTAGAGACCTTCATATATATATATATATATATATATGAGAATTTTAGTTGTTGAAAAAAAAAATTAATTATCATGTAGTAATAAAGACTTACAATACTTGGCATTTAAATTTGAAGCCGAGACATGTTTGATAAGTCGCGAGCCCAGAGGTGGTGGGCTGAGAATTGCGACATGATCAGGGAGCTTCTTAATATACAGACTTTAAATCAACGTGTTTTCATCACTCCTGCAAGGTCTGATGATAATGAGGTAATCTACAACTTTTACACACATATGATGTTGTTAAGAGTTAAGACTCTATTTCATCGACCTTGTTATTTTTCATGATACTTCAATTCATGTTTATCACTATATCGTGAGAAGAGGTTGACATAAATAAGAGCTCTCTATTGGATTCTCGAGATTCATTCATGTACATTACTATTGCCTTTGAACAGAACTCGGGGGAATCTGAACAAGATATCCCAATGGCTTCAATGCTGAACATGGATTCGACTCGGGGGAATTTCCATGCACCCGCTGGGAATATGGGGTATTTCCATGGTGGGATATCAAGGGCTAACAACCCTACTGACAATGACATGGATGCTGAATGGGTTGAGCAGGATGATCCTGGAGTGTCAATCACTGTGAAGAGGTCAGCTAATGGGACCAGGCAAATTTGCCGTATCAAATTCAGGTAATATAAAATGCATATCAAAAACATGTTCCTTATTGTTTTTTCCTTCACAATTAGATGGTCGTAGGAGCATGTTCTTTGGTGAAATTAGGAAATGGTAAAATCCTAGATTGCATGTAACATGTTGCCAAATTTCATTTAAAAATTTATTTAGAAGATTAGTGGGTTTTGATTTGACTCTTTGTTAACTCTGTCTGCAGCCGGGAAATTTTTGATGCAGATGCAGCCAAGGATTGGTGGCTGCGCAACAGGTTCGAGATCATGCTCAGTATATGTGAAGCCTTGTTGCTGTGAAGAAAAGTGGATGTTCTAAACTGCTGGAATTTTCAACTTTTCTTTCCTAGACATTGTTATCTTCTTCTTGTTGTTGTTCACTCCAGTATATGGAGTGTAGTCTTGGTGATGGTCTCTTAATATGTTATAGTTGGTACTGTTTCGTAAGTTTAAGTTTGTGGTTCTCTATTTACTCCAATTACTGTGGGGTATATTGCTGTTGATTTATCTTTTGTTGAACATTTGGTAAGTTTGGTTATTTAAGACCAACTTGCTCTTTTATAATATATATTTTCCTTGTGTGGTTTATCAGCGCAAGCTTGTGAAAACCCTATATGTTGATGAATGATACGTAATCTTTTCCCTAAATCCTTAGAGATCCTTCTTAAAACTTAAAAAAAAATATTTCTGTTATAAAAAAAAAATTATATATATATATATATATATATATATATATATATATTTCAGACATAATAAGTGACGATTATTTAACATTACAAACTAAAAAACAGATTAGTTGTATAAAATTAAAATAAAAAATAACACACACGGATTAGTTGAGAAAACCTCTAAAAGAGCTTAATAAATGATTTGATAATATATTTGAATTTCTCATCCATCGAGATATAAAAATCTCCTTGATTCCGATCATATGACTACTACAAAAGGTATCAAATATGAAAACGAATTCTCTCATATGTTTTATTTAACATGATCACATCATATGGAAGAATCCTAATCATATAGAGGTGAATCAACAGTTATAATTTTATAACTAACTATTTCAATACTTTTTCTCTCTCTTCCCTTATCACCATTAATGATTCACTCCCATCAAATATACTATACTACTTCTTTTAAGGGTTAAAAAGTAAATTAATTAATTGTATGCTCAAATTTATAGAAAACTCCCATGCAAAGAGACCTTCGCTCTGCAAAAACCTAAAATCAAATTCACAAACATATCTATTTGAATGAATCCCAGTTCAAGACAAAGTCTAATCGTTACATCTTCGTGTAGGTCGAAATTTACCTAATAAGGAGTTTTCTTATCTTAGAATCGTTATAGTTACTGTCATTCACTGAATCATAAATTTAATTAATGTTAGAGCAAAAGCCAAACATATTTGTTATGGTGTGAATAGATTCTAAAATATGTGGGTCAAACTTACTTGACATAGAAGTTTGCAACCCTAAGATAAAGGTAGGGTCTTCGTTTACCAAGGTAGGACTTTAATAGCTGCTGTCATCATTCACAAAGCCCAATCACCAATAATTAAAACAAGTCAAACATATTTGTTAGAGGGTCAATTGATTCTAAACAGGCGGGCTGAAACTTATTTGACAACATATTTTGCTAGCTCAGGAGTCAGGACCATTGTAGTTGTGATCGTCATTCACTAGGTAAGATATTATAACAATCAATTAGGATTATTATCAATGTTATTACTAATTAATTTTATCATTAAATCGATTACATTGATTCAACGGTTATCATTAAATGTGATAAATCATAATCATACAAAGATGGAAATAAATATAACTGTTGGATCAATATAATCGATCTAATGGTGAAATTGATTGGTAGTAACATTGATAGTAACCCTAATTGGTTGTTACAATATCATTTCTAATTTTTTTTAGGGTAAATTGATTCCAACTACCGCAATTAAACAATTAAAGTAAGGATAAAGTATTTCTTCAGTCACCGGATATAAGTGATTCCAAAATTACGTCGTTTTGAATTAATGAAGGGTGTTTCCGTAAGTTAGGAAAATTAATGAAGGGTGTTTCAGTAAAATTTATTTGATAAAAAAATAAATAAAATTACAGAAATACTTTTTATTAATTCAAAACGACGTAATTTTGGGATAACTGAAAATAAGTTATTTACAAGAATCAAAGAAATACTTTACTTTTTTTTTGGTAAAGGAAATACTTTGCTAACTAAAAATTTGTACACACATGTTTTCGTGCGAGTCAAAACTTACCCGATAAAGAATGTTATCATTTCAGGACCATTATAATTATGGCCACCGTTAATTGGATACTGTGTTTATGGTGTAAATTGATTTTAACTATCGCAATCAAATCTTGAGATATCAAAAATAAAAAACAAATATACATAAAAATTTCTCTACCCTAGAAATGTTATAGTTACAATTGTCATTAAATATGTCTTAACATTTTAATCGGATAAATAAGTCAAATGTTTTTATTATGGTATAAATTGATTTTCACGATGGCAGTTTAATTTTTGAAGTATCCAAAATTTAAAATAAACGTATCGAAAATTATAGGACAAAAATTTCTCTACCCTAAGATCGTTATAATTATGGATGTCATTTAACGAATCCAACATTTGTTAATCAGATAAATAACCCAAATATTTTTATTATGGTATAAATTGATCAAATTTTTAAAGTATCTAAAATTTATATATATTTAATGCTAACTTACATTAAAAAGTAAATTCAAAATTTCGATGACATGGTATTTTTTAATGGTATTTTTTAATTAAAAATTGGGGTTTATAAATTTTTTGTTGCTGCATCAACAAAAAATTTGTAGAATCGGGTCGATACGCACAGCGCCCGGGATAATAAAAAAGGGAAAAAAAATTGTGGTCTTCATATTTTATTGTCTTAGCAGCAAAATAATTTTTGGAGCATTATCATAAAATTTATAAACCCCTTAAAAGTTTATAACTAAAGCCAAAAGTTAAATAATTTTTTTTAATAAAAAAAAGTTAAATAACTTAAATCAAGTGTTAAGAGAAACGGTTGATAATATTGGCAATTTCTTTCATTAAAATTATATTAGATACTCAGGAAAATTCTTATCTGTCCATCCATGCATGGAATCAGGGAGAAGAATCAGGAAGAATATCATGTGATTGCAAGAATTTCTGATCTGTATCACAATTAACATCCAAGGATGACATCATAACAAGCAGCAAAACACAAGCTGAATGAGAAGTTTCTATTTCCAAATTCAATTCTGTCAAAAAGTGCATTCACCAATCCTAACCATCGATAGTCATATGGTGTAAATTGATTTTAACTATCGTAATCAAATCTTGAGATATCAAAAATAAAAAACAAATATACATAAAAATTTCTCTACCCCTTGAAATGTTATAGTTACAATTGTCATTAAATATGTCTTAACATTAATTAATCGGATAAATAAGTCAAATGTTTTTATTATGGTATAAATTGATTTTCACGATGGCAGTTTAATTTTTGAAGTATCCAAAATTTAAAATAAACGTATCGGAAATTATAGGACAAAAATTTCTCTACCCTAAGATCGTTATAATTATGGATGTCAATTAACGAATCCAACATTTGTTAATCAGATAAATAACCCAAATATTTTTATTATGGTATAAATTGATTCTAATGACTGCAATCAAATTTTTAAAGTATCTAAAATTTAAAAATATATATATATATATATATATATATATTTAATGCTAGCTTACCATAAAAAGTAAATTCAAAATTTCGATGCCATGTTATTTTTTTATTAAAAATTGGGGCTTATAAATTTTTTGTTGCTGCATCAACACAAAATTTGTAGAACTCGTTAGCTATAGCATTGCACGGGTCGATACGCACAGCGCTCGAGATAATAAAAAAGAGAAAAAAAAATTGTGGCCCTCATATTTTATTGTCTCAGCTGCAAAATAATTTTTGGAGCAGTAACATAAAATTTATAAACCCCTTAAAAGTTTATAACTAAAGCCAAAAGTTAAATAATTTTTTTTAATAAAAAAAAGTTAAATGACTTAAATCAAGTGTAAGAGAAACGGTTGATAATATTGGCAATTTCTTTCATTAAAATTATATTAGATACTCAGGAAAATAGTTATCTGTCCATCCATGCATGGAATCAGGGAGAAGAATCAGGAAGAATATCATGTGATTGCAAGAATTTTTGATCTGTATCACAATTAACATCCAAGGATGACATCATAACAAGCAGCAAAACACAAGCTGGATGAGAAGTTTCTATTTCCAAATTCAATTCTGTCAAAAAGTGCATTCACCTGAACCAATCCTAACCATCGATCTGTACCAGAAATTCATCAAACCCCTAACAATGTACCACGTAGGAACATCTCCCTTGCATTGGATAAAAAAAAAGCCTGACAACTTGTGGACCCAGGTCCACTTCTTTGATATTGTCGAAACAGTTTCCGTCACACTTATAAACCTCACGCAGTCAACCCCAACCCCACTACCCCTTGGAGTTAAAGTACCACAACCTCAAAACGCTGCCTCGCTATCCTTGTCTTTTCTGTAACCGTATATTTCTCGCTTCAAAAATGTCAAAAATATGTAAGCGCACCTCCATCCTCTCTCTCTCTCTCTCTCTCTCTCTCTTTTTCGAGCAGAGTATTTTGTCTTTTTATGGCAGTTACAATGTGGCTGAGTTGGAGGGTTTTCACAGGGGGTTTTATAAGAGTTATTGTAATACCCCATATTTTCTTTTAATAAAATAATAATAATAATATAATAATAAATTTTTTGGATAATAATGATATTTAGTATTTTTGTAATTAATAATATTGGTATTTAATATTTTTAATTAATGAGTTAATAATAGTTAAAATAATAAGAGGTAAGATAATAATAATAGTAATATTATTTGATTTATGTGAAAAAATATATATATATATAAATTAGATGATATATCATGATTAATTGATTTATTAATTGATTGATGATTTATGTATTAATGTTTGATTGATGATTTATGTATTAATGTTTGATTGATGATTTATGTATTAATGTTTGATTGATGATTTATGTATTAATGTTTGATTGATGATTTAGATAAGATGAGTCAACAAACATAAATTGTTTAGATATGATGAGTCAGCATTGAGTCAATAGTGTATAAAGCCAAAATCTGAGCCAAATACATCAATAAAGAAAAAGGAAATAAATGCACGAAACCCATATCCGAGCCCAAAACTTCAACTATAAATAGAGACCTAACCTAACCAAACCAATTCACTCTGAATCCTCAATAATTCTCCACCACTCTTCTTCTCCTCTACACTTTCTCTTTCTCTCTCCTCACTTTAAATTTTTATTTTTATTATTATCTTTCTTTGGTTACCAACCGCTTCTCTTCCCCAAGTTGTAGAAGTCACCAAACACGGAGACCAGGTAATCCTAATCTCTAGGTGGTTGTAGATTCGTTGTGTATGAAATTTTATTGTGTGTATCCTAATCTTTAGGTAGTTATATGTTTTATTGTGTGTATCCTAATCTTTAGTTAGAAATTTATGAGATTTAAATAAATGCATAAGACATATTTCCTTTATTTAAACTTTAGTCTTTGGTTTTATTTTAATGTAATAAATTTAGCCTTGCACCTGTCCATTGTACAGGTGCGGCGGTAACATTCCCCAAATTAGATTTAGATTAGCTTTCGCAATATTTCTATTATTATAATTGTAAAAAAAAAAGAATTTTGACAATTTATTTATTATAAGATTGTTTTATAAATTGTTAGAAATTTGGGGTGTTACAGTTATCTTAGGACCATTTTGTTTCACGTGAAAGATGTTGTTTTTTGGAGCATTGTTATTCATTAGTTGCATTGTAACTCAATTGCTGCATCTGTGTGGTCTTTATTTCGGCGCTTTCCCTGTAACCTAATCATTGCTTTTGTTTACCGTAAATGGCCATTTCCTGTCACTGTTTCATTCAATGAAAGTGATAACCTTAACTTCATCCTTCAATGACTTTTATTATTATTTTTATTTTGTTCTATTATCCATTCAGAACCAATGACATATATTGATATGGTTCATTTCTTCTCTATATGTCATTCCCATTCTCAACTGTTGACAGACACTCTTTCATTCTCTGGAATCTAACCATAAATGTTTGCTTGTTTTGTTGTTGTTCAAGATAAGATGAGCTTTTTAGCGAAGATGTTTTTGTTCATGAATCCGTGTGCCAAGCCAACCCCCGTTGATGGGGATGAAGATGACCGTGGGAACGGCACGCCGAACACAAAAGAAGCCGTCAAGGGTCTGACGTCGCAGGTCCTTAATACTCTCTCCCTCTCTCTCAACAAACATTGTTTTTTTCATCTTCTTTTTCCATCTTGGTTAAAACAAACAAAATCAAACCAAATGTTTACCTTCTTCTTTATTTTGCTTCCTTTATATTTGCTTATTAGTTTACCTTCTTCTTCATGCTCTTCCTTCTTCCTTATGATGCCTCTCCTAACTATTTCGAACCAAATGTTTCTAAATTGTGTGAAAAATTGGACAAGTAATATTTGGATAGAAATTACTGGAGATTTCTACAAATAGAAAATGCTTTCCATTGGGGGTACATAGTTGATAGTAGGATATATACATATATAGACTTTCACGTTCAAGGATGTTGTTGTCATCCACTTGCATGTATTCTCTACCAAGTACATTCTCCACTAGCCCAGCTGTAAAGGTATTGTATGATGCTTTGAAAATGACCTAAGCCTGAAACCTTAAGACTCCATGGTATGTATTAATTGTATGGTACATGATTAAGACTTTTAAATGCATTGATGCTAATTTGAATTTTTATTCTGCATATGCAGATTAAGGATCTGGCGCTGAAGCTTTCAGGGAAGAAAATCAAAGCTGGCAACCCCAAGAGCATCAAGTATGACACCGTTTCTGAAGAGGTTCCATACGGCTACATTGGTGGTGGAAGCGCAAGTTCAACCCCTGCTTTGGACTACACAAACCCCAATCAATCCCCAATTGGTAACACCACCCCTGGAGGGCGTCAACCTCAACCACCAGCTGGTAGTGTAGCGATGGTGGACATGACTGGATCCAACAAGTGGATAGCAAAGATGGAGCCAGGTGCTCACATCACCGTTGTGTCTCTTCCTACTGGGGGCAATGATCTCAAAAGGATTCGCTTCTGGTATGTATAATATGTCCCAAGTTTTGAAAATATATGTAGTACCTTAGAGACCTTCAAATATATATATATATATATGAGAATTTTAGTTGTTGAAAAAAAAAAGTAATAAAGACTTACAATACTTGTTATTAAAAAAAAAATAAAGACTTACAATACTTGACATGATCAGGGAGCTTCATAATATCCAGACTTTAAATCAACATGTTTCCAACACTCCTGCAAGGTCTGATGATGATGAGGTAATCTACAACTTTTACACACATATGATGTTGTTAAGAGTTAAGACTCTATTTCATCGACCTTGTTATTTTTCATGATACTTCAATTCATGTTTATCACTATATCGTGAGAAGAGGTTGACATAAATAAGAGCTCTCTATTGGATTCTCGAGATTCATTCATGTACATTACTATTGCCTTTGAACAGAACTCGGGGGAATCTGAACAAGATATCCCAATGGCTTCAATGCTGAACATGGATTCGACTCCGGGGAATTTCCATGCACCCGCTGGGAATATGGGGTATTTCCATGGTGGGATATCAAGGGCTAACGACCCTACTGATAATGACATGGATGCTGAATGGGTTGAGCAAGATGATCCTGGAGTGTCAATCACTGTGAAGAGGTCAGCTAATGGGACCAGGCAAATTCGCCGTATCAAATTCAGGTAATATAAAATGCATATCAAAAACATGTTCCTTATTGTTTTTTCCTTCACAATTAGATGGTCGTAGGAGCATGTTCTTTGGTGAAATTAGGAAATGGTAAAATCCTAGATTGCATGTAACATGTTGCCAAATTTCATTTAAAAATTTATTTAGAAGATTAGTGGGTTTTGATTTGACTCTTTGTTAACTCTGTCTGCAGCCGGGAAATTTTTGATGCAGATGCAGCCAAGGATTGGTGGCTGCGCAACAGGGTTCGAGTTCATGCTCAGTATATGTGAAGCCTTGTTGCTGTGAAGAAAAGTGGATGTTCTAAACTGCTGGAATTTTCAACTTTTCTTTCCTAGACATTGTTATCTTCTTCTTGTTGTTGTTCACTCCAGTATATGGAGTGTAGTCTTGGTGATGGTCTCTTAATATGTTATAGTTGGTACTGTTTCGTAAGTTTAAGTTTGTGGTTCTCTATTTACTCCAATTACTGTGGGGTATATTATTTATCTTTGGTTGAACATTTGGTAAGTTTGGTTATTTAAGACCAACTTGCTCTTTTATAATATATATTTTCCTTGTGTGGTTTATCAGCGCAAGCTTGTGAAAACCCTATATGTTGATGAATGATACGTAATCTTTTCCCTAAATCCTTAGAGATCCTTCTTAAAACTTAAAAAAAAATATTTCTGTTATCAAAAAAAAAAATATATATATATATATATATATTTCAGACATAATAAGCATTATAAAAAATATTACTTCGTTTAACTCGTGATATCACTGCAGTCCTGTTTGCATAAAATATTTAAAAAATTTAAAAGATTATATATACATATTAAAACTGTGTACCCTATGAGAAAAATTAGGCTTTTTGACCCTTTTACCCTTAATTAATTAATTAATAACCATTTTGCCCCTCATTCAAAACTATCTATTAATCTGTCCCTCTTTAATCGATTAAGTTGAAGATTTAATCGATTAAATGGTCAAAACTGACAAAAATGGTTGACTTGAAGATTTAATCGATTAAATCTTCAACTTAATCGATTAAATCTCCAAAAAGAAACGAAAAGTAGATAAATAAGCTTTGCTTTATGGTTTCAATCATTTGATTATGTTGGATTGTCAATATAGATATAGTCCGAAAACAAAGGCCCCACTTGCTTTTATTACTTGGTGAAGGCAAATTTGTGAAGGAAAATACGCAGCAGACGCCTTTTCTTTTCTTTTCTTTTTTTAACCCTTTTTAACTATTAACTCTTGGATGCTGCAATTGCCAATTGATTAGGGGCAAGCTTGCAAAGTCAACACACTTGCTAATGCTAAATGCAATGACAAGACAACATTAAATGGAATTATAAAATTAAAGCTCATCCATAAACTCCTGTCTGAAAGCATGATAAAAATTGGAGGGGAGAAAAAAAAATCTTTCGTTCCTATCTCAAGTGACAAGACAACACTTGCTAACTTTTTGGAGATTTAATCGATTAAGTTGAAGATTTAATCGATTAAATCTTCAAGTCAACCATTTTTGTCAGTTTTGACCTTTTAATCGATTAAATCTTCAACTTAATCGATTAAAGAGTGACAGATTGATAGATAGTTTTGAATGAGAGACAAAATAATTATTAATTAATTAATGAAGGGTAAAAGGGTCAAAAAGCCGAAAAACATATCCTTTTTAAAATGTCATGATTTGAATAGTCTTATTTTTTTTCACGTGTTTCTTTTTTGATGTTACAAGAGAAAGGCATAAAAATAACTATAATAAAACCTGTCAATTATTCATATAAAATTTATAAAACTTAATTTAGTGTCCCAAATTCGATTTGAATAGATAAAAAGGTGGCACTGTACTTTTTTTGGAAATATTCCATTTGGTTCATTGCTTCGCAACTAATCCGATTCGATTTGAATAGATAAAAAGGTGGCACTGTACTTTAAACAAAGCACAACGATCAATTAACAAAATCACAACAATAATAATACGATAGATCAAGA